TCGTTCCAAAGAACGAATTTCTCGAGGTCGGGAGGATCTAATTGCCGACGCCAAGCCCTGATATTGTTAGGACTAAGAAGATCTGGTGAAAGGCAGAAAGAATATCCAAGTACCTTTCGGAGAAGCGGCTCCATCTAAGGCTAACTGGGGCATCCACGCTTACGAGAAGGAAATAAGGTCTCATGAGGAGCCTTTCCAGCGTTGCCTCATCCCAGATATCGGTAGTAACCCAACGATCTTGCCATCTTCTTGTTACGAAATCGAGTAGTTCATCGACAGTCTGAAATACGTGAGCCCCGTTTTTAGGGCCCTGACTTCCGAAGGATGGAGGTAGCTCATTTTGTCCAAGAAGATGGTCGGGTCTATGGGAGAGTTGGAGCTGGTGGAATCCGTGTTTCTGGATTAAGTATTCAGCAACGGAGTTTTTCCCAGAGCATATTCCTAAAGACTACGTTAGTTTCCGTTTCTATTTATTTTTCCTTCTTCTTCTTCTGCACCGGAAATGGAAAAGAAAAGAAAAAAATAAGAAGAATCATAGAAACGGGGTGTTGGCAATAGACCTCCACATAGCCCTATTAGCATGGTTTCGGTCTAGATAATTTTTGGGGAATAGTCGGCGAAAAGAGGTGCAGATTGTTCTGTGATTTTCCGTTGCAAGTTTTAATGCCATTCAATGCAATATCTCTTCAAGACAAAAGCAGGTTAATGATGGTTCGCGATCTTATTTTCCATAACTTCAGTAAAATGCTGTCTGACACCACACAAACTTACAAAAACATTTGGTATGCAACCTGATCATGTGACAAAGCTCACAACGGCCCTGGAGAGTTTCTTGGCGGCGGAGCAATCTTACATCATAACCCAACCTAACTATCGAACATTATCTCGACTCTTCTTTGCATATACAACTTTTGGAGGCTATTATAACCTCTAGGTGAACATAAGGGAGCTTTGTGACTAATATCCAAGTGTTCTTTCATCGCAGCTGATGTCCCCACGAGACCATTGTTGATCACCCGTTGGAACACACAAAGTTAGGACAACGCTCTGCTGCAATCAGTTATTTATTTGCTGGAATTCCTATGCCAAAAAGATAAGTCCTCTTAGGATTTCAAGTCGCCTGTCGCCAACATGCAGTATACACCCTTCGCCTCTGATATAGAACTTCCTTTCTATACGTCCTTGGCTTCGCTGAAGATAAACCATGACAAACTTGATGACTCCGCTCGTAAGCTGCTTGGGCTTTATGAGATCAGATCTACTGATCGCCCGGAGGCTTCATGCCGTATGCAAATTCATGGAACTGCGTTGACCCGAGATGAGTAAGTAGAACCATTACTGGCAAAAGTGTGATGTTTACTCACAACCTCCATTGCACAGAGTACCATTTGGCTACTATAGGGCAGAAGGGATGATAAAGAATGTCAACACCATTGAAGAATACCACAATATTGACAGGAATGCCCTTTTGCTACAAACAGGAAAGATGGTACGCATAACCCCGCATACTGAAACTAACGTTTGTACTGAGGGTGATCCGCTGGGAATAGATATGGGATGCAATCAATGATGAGACCATTTATTCATGCCCATCCTTGTTAGTTTCATTCATTGTGCTTTCATTTGCGGATCTGAAAAAGTATAAATTTTCATATTGGTTTGCTTTTCCCGCAATCCATTCCGCACCGTCATGGACATCCGTAATGGATCCGAAGCCGTTGACAGGCAACGAAAGTTCTACCCTCGTTGACGCAGTTCAAACGTGGCGATATGGAGTTGATGCCCGCCAACACGGGTTCTTTCTTGCTAGGAAGGATTGGCACGTGGTCAACAGTCCATCGGACGGCACTGTGCTTAACAAAGCGCACGTCGATAACCAGCAATCCTTATCACCAATTGCTAAAGAACTCGGCTTTTCCTGGAAAATCTCATCCATTTCAGACTTTGAAACCGGATTTTTCCACGATGCTTTGCCTGAGGATTGTTTTGTGTGCTTCGCTGATCCATCGAACTACCCAGATGCTCCAGGTTGGATGTTGAGGAACCTTTTGGTTCTCGTCCGCCAGCGATGGAAGCTTAACGAAGTCTACATTCTTAGATATCGTGATGTTCAATCGAAAAGGGATCAAGGGCGAAGTGTTGTCTTAAAATTGAGATCAGATACAGCTCATCTCGACCCGAATGACTCACGGCTCGGGTCTCAAATGCCCATGCCCAAAGTCACTGGGTGGGAACGAAACGCTGCGGGGAAATTAACCGGAAGAGTCACTAACCTCACAGAATATATGGATCCTAGAAGGTTTGTCTAATGATTTTGTATTATTTTAAAGCGCCTTTGAACAAAGCGTTTCTAACGAGAGGAAACAGGCTGGCTGATCAATCGGTGGACCTGAATTTGAAACTTATGAAGTGGAGGATCAGCCCTAACCTGAATCTCGAGAATATTAAAAATACAAAATGTCTCCTGCTGGGCGCAGGGACTCTGGGAAGCTACGTTGCGCGCAATTTATTGGTGAGAACAGCAAGGTCTCTTATATGCAGCTCAATAACTGATGCTGGGGGGTACAGGGATGGGGTGTTCGAAAAATTACGTTTGTAGATAATGGAACAGTGTCATTCTCCAACCCTGTGAGACAACCACTTTTTGGATTTAATGACTGCTTGGGAGGGGGGGCTAAAAAAGCCCTTCGCGCAGCCGCCGCTCTTGAAGAAATCTATCCAGGTGTCGACGCATCTGGTTATGTGCTCTCCGTCCCAATGCCAGGCCATCCAATAACCGATGCTTCGAAGGCCGAACTAGAATTTAAAGAACTCAAGAAGCTCGTTGATGAACACGATGCGATCTTTGTTCTGTTGGATACTCGAGAGGCCCGGTGGTTACCAACCGTCATGGGAAAGGCAACCGGGAAGATAGTGATGAATGCAGCGCTGGGTTTCGACACGTATGTTGTAATGCGTCACGGGGTTGAAAATTGCTCGGCGCCAGAGACAGAACTGGGATGCTACTTTTGTAATGATGTTGTTGCTCCAGCTGATGTGAGTCATTGTCTCAATTTATAAATGTGTGGTCTGTGCTAACTCCATTTTAAAGTCTATTAAGGACCAAACATTAGACCAGCAGTGCACAGTAACTCGTCCCGGTATAGCTGCAATAGCATCTGCCTTGTTAGTTGAGTTGTTTGTATCTGTTTTGCAGCATCCAGATGGTCCAGCCGCTCCTGCATCCATCCCCAAACAAGAAAGTCGGACCGATCACCCTCTTGGAATTGTACCTCATCAAATTAGAGGATTCTTGTCTAATTTTTCGAACGTGATCGTGTCCGGGAAGAGCTACAACTGTTGTAGTGCTTGTTCGGGTAACATAATGGATGCCTACAAAAACCATGGGTGGGATTTCGTTCGTAAGGCAGTAAATGAACGTAATTATGTTGAAGAGTTGAGCGGTTTGAAAGAGGTAAGTCTCTCCTTGAAAAAACGGGTTGTAATTGGAACTAAATTCCACAGATCCAGCGTGTAGCCGAAGAGGCTTCAGCTTCCATTGATTTCGAGTCGAGCGATTTGGAAGAAGGCGATGGAGAAATGATTTAGGATATAAGAATAAATGACCAATGTATACATATTCTTTGCATGCCAATTTCTGGGCACAGATAATACGCTCCGTGGGTTTAAGTGCTGTTTGATTCGTATGAACTAGAGGTGCGGAGGACGGCGTCTTTAGCAGCATTTTGTTTCCGTCTTAAACCAATAAAGTATGCCTCTTTCGATTCCTAGAAGAAAATTTAGCAAGAGATCAAGGCCAGCGGACTTCCTGTAAACATACACTACGAGACGATTCTGGTTTCTCCCGATGGACGGTCTGGAATAGTTCTTTCAACTGCCTTTCCAGTGCTTTATCTTCGGCCCCTTGATAGAACTTGCAAACGAAATGACCCCCGGTTTTTAAAACGTTGAAACTAAATTCGAGCGCCGCTCTACAGAGGTCCTGTTTCGGGGTTTTCTCATTAGTAACGGGAAGAAAGAAAGATTGATAGGAGATTAGTTTCAATCATACCATGCTTCCGGCATGATCTCGAAAGCTCATTCCGCTCGTGTTCATCATCCTGCGATATGGGTCACTAAGGCTTTTCTTCCAGAAACCAGTTGTTTGTTCCCAGGGGGCAGACATGTCGCTTAGCACCACATCAACTGTTTTATCCCCGACAGCAACATCGGGGATAGTTTCATTGGCCCCATCTGCTTGTGTAATGTGCGAACTAGCACTTCGTTCCCGATCAATGTATCCTTCAATTTCTTCGACTTCGTCATCGGTCCTTGGCTGAGAACGTTGATCGGCATTCTTGAAGTGGTTGAGGCTTTGTGCTCGTCCACGATTAGGGTTTCGTAGAAATTCTCGGACATAAGCTTGTATCTGCAGCGAGAGGAAGTTTCCTTGGATAGTCGAGACACCTTTCGGAGGTTGAGCAGGAATTATATCCACCCCAACTACACGACCGTTTGGCCGAGTGAGATCCACGGCAACCTGTAAGACAATGATTAGAACCTTTGAGGAAAGGAAGGAAGAGGGAAAATGGGGCAGTCGAACCTGTGACCAAGATCCACGGGCATAACCCTTATCAAGTCAGTCGAATCCAAGATATGTTGTTAAATAAATAGGTAGTCAGTCATTCATACCAAATCTACTACGCTTTGATCTGGGCTTAAATATTTTGTATCTGTCATTGGATCTGTCGAATTCAATCATCAGACAGGTCAGCACAAACGTAGACATTGAAGGTCAGATGAAGCGGTAGAAGCTTAAACGCTGCACGGCTTTTCAATCCTTTCACGCCTGCTTCTCTCGAATATTTGTCCTTCGCTTGCCGAGCTTGCCATCGCTTCGACGACGAATATCTTTTCGATATCTCAATTAGTTCCCGCGGTTTCCTCCCTAAACTTTTGCCGGATGGCAGCCACAAATGGTAAGAAAGAATGAGATTAAGGAATTTCATATGGGATTGGGGAATCGAGTTTGAATTGCGTAGAGTTAACAATTCTCTGCCCATTGGTGAATCTTCAAAAACTGGATCCCTAAATATTATCACGTGCTTAAATTCATGGTGTCAATGTTGAGCAACCACTAGTATTTACCTAGCTATTCTTTCTCTTAGCATACATATAGACATGAATAGGTTCATATGAGAGCTTTCTGAGAAGGGTTGACCTCGTTTGTCCAGCAGAGTTATTTAACACGTCATTCAGATGCTGCCATTTTCTATAGGAGTTTTCTAACTATGAGCAGCTCGAATATTCCGTCGTAGAGGAGATATATCTGCATATGCTTCTAATCCTCGACCACCACCAAGCCGTCGACCCGGCGCACCTAAGCCCAGTTGACCTCCCCCGAGGGCTCGAAAGCCAGTCAGAACCCGCCTTCTATCTTTACTGGATTCCCCAAATCCTTGTTCATCATCATCATCAAACAACGTGCCCTCTGGCTTCCTCGGCAGAAACCTCCGTTTGATCCCCGCATTTTTATTTGTAGTTGACGTTGAGGGTTCGTTTTGTCGTTTTGTGGGTTGCGTATTTTGCGTATTTTCGTGATCATCATCAGAATTCACCATAACGGACACATTTTGCGACTTTGGCGGGGGCCTCCGTTTCGTCGCTTTTGTGGCTTTTGAGTGAGAGGGTTTGCTAGATTTTGACCGGTTATCTTCAACATCCTCCTTCATCCTTTTCACTGGCTTGCGGACGTGCTCTAAATCCGAATCGCTCGCCGACATGCCAGAAGATTCTGCCGTAGTACTGGTTCGATTCAGGAATGGCGTTGTGGAGAAAGTTGACTTCTCGCCAGGAACAGCAGGCATCCTACTCATTCTCTGGTGAGCTACAGCTGCTCCTGGAGTGGTTATCGCTACATCTGACTCAAATCTAGACGTGCTTCTCTTCCGTCTCTGGTCTTCTTGCGGTGATCCAGCATCATCCAGTATTGTGGGCCGGTCTAAGGTGCTGTCATCTTTTGACTGACGTAATTTATTTCGAAGACTAGCCAGCTTGTTTTCAAGAACGAGTCGATGACGCGCCCACTCGAGCGCTTCAGTCTTCATGTCATTCTGGATTTTTTCCCGTTCACGCCTCTCTCTAGTAAGCTCCTTATTCAACTCCCCAAGTTCGGTAAGAATTTTGCTATCCACCTCATTATGTTCCACATCCTTCAGCCGTGCCTTCTCTAACGCATTTTTCTCACTTTGAAGCTCAACTTCGAGCGAGCGAAGCTGGCGTTCTAGCGAGAGCTTCTCCGACATCAAAGCTTGGTGAGACAAAGCCTGCGATTTCAGCTGCTCAATTTCGTGTTTTAAATTGGATATTTCTCGCGTCATGGCTCGCTTTTCGGCTAGCAGTTTACTCGAGTCGGCTGCCGTCACCTGTAGTTCGTTTATGTTCGACTATGGAGGTATCAGTATGGGTCTTATCACTGTACATCTGAATGCTTGCCTTTAAATGCTCGATCTCCCGCAACTGGACTCGGAGAGAATTTCGCAAGGAGTCAATCTCATTCCGTGCTTGCTTCAGCTGCTCCTGCGCTTCCGAGCCAATCTTCTCTGCTCTTGCCAGATGGGTCTTCACATCCTCAAGTTCGGAACATAGATCGTCTTTGTCATGGCTCGCAAGTAAGGCTTGTACGCGCATGATCCGATTTTTCTCATCGCCGATAATTAATTTTGTATGACAGAGAGCTTTCTCATACTCTATCTCAAGACGCGCACTGGCCGGAGAAAGCAGCTAACACATGTTTTGTGAGCAAGTGAGAGTAAATTGGAACAAATGATAAGTGACCTACCTCCGAATCTTGTAGAACTGCCGAGCTCCTTTGCTTTCGTGATGCCATTAGCACTAGATTATTTCACTAGTTATTTCTGAAAAATCGCCTGCCAGTTTGACAAATGCTAGAGCTCTCTGCTGGCACTTGCAATCCGTTGCTTGATCGGGTGGGTGTGGTTGGATTAACAAATAATCCGTGACCCAGGCGATGAATGATGATGATTGGACGTTCAGGGATCGCACCAGAGTGCTTCGTAGTCTCGCTCCGTACACAGTGGCAATTACCCACCAAGTTTCAAAAGCTTCGAACAGGTGTTTGGTAGCCTTACTTTCTTTTGAAGTGAAAGAGATTCAGCCATGAGGGCTCTCTCTATATTCACGGCATTGATTTGCCTAGTTATCTCGTCTACTGCCAAATCTACTGCTGACAAGTACGAAACCTACCAAACTCGGGCAAAATCGAGCACCCCAATTGAACTTGATGATCAGTCGTATGATGACCTGACATCGAAACCACGCGACTACCATGTTGCCATAATCCTCACCGCTGCAGATGCGAAATATGGGTGCCAGGTTTGCCGCGAAGTTCAACCCGAATGGGATCTCCTCGCCCGAAGCTGGACTAAAGGCGTCCGTCAGGACTCACCTAGATTACTTTTCGGTACTCTGGATTTCTCTCGGGGAAGAGATACTTTTCAGAAGGTCAGTAAATCATCTTTTAAATAAACCTTTTTATGCCTTTTAACTGACTCGACTGCATTGATAGCTTATGCTTCAAACGGCGCCGATTTTAATGTTCTTCCCTCCTACCGTTGGCTCTGGGGCGAAAGCAGATAGAACCCCTATCCGATATGATATCACGGGGTATAGAATACATCCTCATTCTACTCTGAAGTCCATTGCTAACTATTTACAAGGCCGCTATCCGCAGACCAGATATTCAATTGGATGAATCGATACCTCCCAGAAGGCCATAGACCGCCTATTGTCCGTCCCATAAACTATGGGCGAATCATGACAACAACGACATTAGTCCTCGGTTCTATAACTCTCTTTACCGCGTCGTCACGATTTATCGTACCTATTATCCAAAACAGAAACCTGTGGGCCGCAATAAGCCTGATCGCGATCCTCATTTTCTCCAGCGGACATATGTTCAACCACATCAGAAAGGTGCCATATGTGGCACCGGATGGAAAGGGGGGTATCAGCTATTTTGCCCCTGGCTTTTCGAACCAATTTGGTTTGGAAACTCAAATTGTTGCAGCTTTATGTATGTTTCCCCGGCCAATACGTCGTCCAGCATACCATTTACATTTTCTGAATTACATTGTCTAATATTTGATAATGCATAGATGCTATCCTCTCATTCGCTACGATTTTCCTTGCAGTGAAGGTCCCTCGAATTGTGGATCCTAAATCGCAGAAAGTGAACGTGATTGTTTGGGGTTCTGTTGTCTTTGTTATGTATAGCTTCCTCCTAAGCATGTTCCGTTCCAAAAGTGGTGGTTATCCATTGTTTCTCCCTCCATTTTAATGGAAAAAGGTATAGCTTAATGAACCAATAGATGGAATTAATAGAATTTCTGGGGTTGATTTGCAAAATAATTGGTTGAAAATGATGTTACCCAACATTAAATGGCATAGATTAAGTGATACCGGCCTAACTGTCAGACAGATGTTGTTTACTGAGTAATCCTATGTGAATGATATGCTCTTTGTAATAATGGTAAACATTTCTATCAGCTTACCGCCGACACCATGCCCGTAGAGGGGAT